TATTTTTTTCTTGTATAGAAGCACTATTTTATTTGAATTGGCAGTATACATATGTGAGAACCATGTCAGAGTTAAGATATTTGTTTTCTTTTGGTTTTGTTTTTTTATTTTAGTACGTTCTGTTATTTGTATGTTGCATCAGGTATGTTTTTACATTATTCTCACATGTGTGTACAATATTGGAATATGTCTCAGAGCAGTGTAAAACAGACATTTTTTTAAAAGAGTAACGAATGGAGTTTCTTGCTCGTTCTTCTCCACTCGAATCGACATTTTGGAACGAGCGCCTAGCTTCACTTGCGGACAGACTGACAGAATATTATTTATTTCATATTTGTTGACGTTTCAAAAGTACCAAATTATAAATGCTTTTGAGTTTGAGTTTGAGTTTGAATTTTGAACACAGTGACCCTACTAAATTCATAGAAAGTTTGAGTTTGAGTTTGAATTTTGAACACAGTGACCCTACTAAATTCATAGAATTGATATATTTTTTAAATTTGACTCAGTAATATGCTTCTATAACATAAAAACTTACTATGACCGCATGTTGTATGACTATGACTATAAAGTAGTAAGCAACATTGTGTAACATAATATAGCATTACGCCTTTTATCCCCGAAGGGGAAGGCAGAGGTGCACATTATGCCATTACAATGTAACACCTACTTTTCACTATTTATGTTATGAGTCCCCTGTAATAGAGGTTTAGTCTATTGCCATATACCACATTTCCAGACTCCGTGCTATTACTGAAGTATTTTTACGAACCCGAGACCCCCTGTCCGGCAGTCGCACTTGTGACCACACAACCAATGAGGCAGTCAACATTTTGTAATAAGAATATAATCTACATTTCTTAAAAGTTCATGAGGTAATACAATTTCAATATACCTGGACAAACAATTATCTAAAACTACTCAAAAACTAAAATTGTAACATTCTCAAAAATGAATTAAAAACTTGAGGATAAGTGAAGTGGAAAGCATAGCATAACATTGCATGGCATAGCATAGCATGGCATGGAATGTCATAGCATCATAGCATAACATAGCATGCATCGAATGACGTAGCATAGCATGGCATAACATAGCATAGCATGGCATAGCAGAGCATGGCATAGGACGGCATGGCATAGCATGGCAATGCATAGTATGACATGGCATGGCATAGCATAGCATAGCACAGCATAGCATAGCATAGCACAGCATAGCATATCATGGCATAGCATAGCGTAGTATATCATGGCATAGCGTAGCGTAGCGTAGCGTAGCGTAGGTATTGCATAGCCTTGGATAGCATAGTATTGGTTTGCATAGCATAGCATGCCCTGGTATGGCATGGCATGGCATGGTATGGCATCGCGTGGCATTACATGGCATGGCATGGTTTGGCATCGCGCGTGCTTTCTATTTCATTAACTGTCATTATGCCATAAATTATAAACAACATTACTCATTACAACCTTAATCTATGAAAAAAAATGGACGTTATCACCCATACAATCAGTGCATCTTTGCCAACGCCGTGGCAGTTTATTAATGCCCTTCTTATAGAAATCAGCTGGACGGTAACAAATTCTTCAAAGGCATTTTGTATTGACATTTATTCCCGCCAAGAAGTTATCCAAATTCTGGAAAAGTACTACAGTAGTCTGTAGGCGCAAGGTCTGGTGAGTAGCTCCGTTTACGTGTAAAGTTCCCATTAGTACAAATTAATGATGCCTAAATACAAGGCACACAGTCTACAAGGTACTTACTGATAGACTGTTGAGGAGGTCCCTTAACCTTAATGAGAGTCCTACTTCATCTAGGTGTAAATTGGTCTTCAATACAAATTAATCAAGCCCAAACACAAGGTCGTGTAAACTGTTGAAGAGTTCCCTCGACTGTCTGTCGGTTCCACGATCAGGTTCACTCCAGACCCTTGTCAAATATAGTGTTTTAAAATCTTTATTGAAAAAGATAATAGACGCATTACTCGCCTCTACAAATTTCGAAAGTTCCCTTTGGTTTTGCTAGCATGCATCCCATGCTATCATCATAGGAGTGTAAACTTTCAATTGAAACAAGAATTTTGAAAAAGTTCCATAATTGACGGAGTAATAAACGTATAAGAAATATCGGTTCTCCTCCTTTTTTATAAGTCGGTAATAACAGAGTTATATTTCTAGCTAGATAACAAAAACAAGCATTTTATGATATTGTTCAGTGACTTTTGGAAATGTGTATGATAGGATGTTTTTTAAAATTATAACTACCAGCAATTTTTGATCAAATGATGTTCGGTAACATTTGACGAGTAGTGTTCAGTTATTCTTCAATTTTAATATTGTTTATTTATTTTATGACTGCCTCATTGGCCGAGTGGTCAAGTTCGACTACCAGGCAAGGGGTCTCGGGTTCGATTCCCGGATTGGGCAAAGTATTACTGAGTTTTTCAGCAGTAGCACGGACTCTATGCCCGGTATATAGCAATAGGCTCAACCAGTGGGTTGTCTTGTAGAGCGGTTTATGGATATAATGTAAGTGTCGTGGTGGCCCGGAGGTTTAAGACGCCCGCTTCTCATACATGAGGGTTCGAAACCTACCAACAGCCACTACCAATGTGACTTTTTTAAACTGTCAAACACCAAGCGGTCACCGGTGACCGCAACCTATTGTTCTATAATTGTGTCTATAATGACGGTACTCGATGAGTTAAAGTTACACAGGGTAAATTGTAGCTCAACGTATTTCTCTAATAATAGATAATAATCTTTATTGATGATAAATGATGATAATAAATACAATTAATTTCCTGTAAAATTAGCTCTGAGATCCCTAGTCTGAAAGTGACTAGTTTCTGAGTTACAAGTCACTCTGTATAATCTTCCAAATTATTAACATCTTATCTTTACGATGACGATGACATAACTTTTTTGGAAATGATTATAAGAGTTGATAATTTGCAAGTAATACTAGAATACTTATTAGATAATTTTATAACGATAACACTTCAGTTCAATAGCCTGTGATTTAGTATCATAAAGACATTATTATCTTGAAAAGCATTCAAGCATGTAATTCAAGGAATATCGAATGAATTTTCGAAAATATGCAACATCACCATTGTCGTTATGAGCCGGAACTCGTCGAAAGCTAAACAAAGAAACGTCTTAGGAATTTAGTGTTTTAATAAAAAAAAATAACTATTTGTATACATTATGCCATTCTGCCTAATATTAGAACATTTGAAAAAAAATACAATAATCATGTATTTGACAACTAGTCAAATTCAATACTTTATTCGAACTGTCAAAAAACTACAGTTTTCTATGAATTTTGTACGAGATTGTTAATGGTGACGTCACGTTTTTTAGGGTCAAAGTTATTTGTTAAAAAATTGCTGTAAAAATACTAAAATTAAGTCGATCATAAAATGAATTAGTGGAAATGTGATTATTTTCAAATTTTTAGTTGTATTGAACAGTCGATATAATTATTTATTTTTTTTAAAAAAAGGAAAGTACCCAATTTATATCTTACTAATATTATATATGCTAAAGCTTGCGAGTTTGTGTGTATTGTTGTTACTCACTTAAAACGACTGAAAAGTTCGGAAAGGAAATTTGGGGAAATAAAATAGATTATGTTCTGTAATAACACAGGCTACTTTTACCTAAAAAGAACGCTGCTAGTAGATTGTATATTGATAGTAGATCTTGCGGGCAGAAGCTAGTAGCAGTAAAACCGCAGTGAAAGACAGATAGAATGATATGTTTATTTAGTAACTAGCTGTAGCCCACTTCGTTCGCGTGAAATAGCGATTCACAGCACCTCCCCCGTAGGTGATAGCGTGATAATATGAAGCCTATATGTTGACCCGACCTCTAAGTAATGAAATTCATGCAAAATTTGAAGTAAATTCATGTAGCACTTTTTGAGTTTAGCCCATGTCTGGGCTAAACTCAAACATACAGACAAACAGACAAAAATTCTATAAACCATATTTTTAGCTTCGGTGCCGTTTGCAAATCACACCCCAAGCATTCTTTAAAAAAATATTTAATGTACAATTTGCACTTTAAGCATGGAAGATAATGTGAACTAACCAAACGAAATAAGTGGAACAAAAACAAATAACGTACATGTTAATTATTTTATTGGGTACCAAAAAGCCTATCCTTATAAAAAATGCTTACATATAAAGACTGAAGTAAATCCTAAGTATAAAACATACAACTATTAATAATACTAAACTGTCATAAGAAAATACAAATTGCTATAAATATTATCACAATCGACTTTAGTACAGTGGCCAGCATATGATTTCCGACTTTAAATACATAATCTAATAAGGAAACTTAACAGAAAAGAGTAGGTTGTCTTGCTGCCCACTATACTATAATAATTACAGTTCTTTACAAATGAAAATCATAATATTTTTGTACTCAAGTAAGAAACCTCGATTCTTACAATATTTAGTTTTTTTATTGAAGTTTAGAGGATTTATTTTCTAATTTTTAAATTTGTATTCCTATTGTTATGCCTTATGCTGAGTTATGCTACAAGTGCGTACCATCAATTTGGGGTTTTGGAATTTGACGATTATTAGAGTTTCAGGTAATTCATCTGGTAACCTCACTGACACGATGACACAACGCAAGCGTTGCTTCACGTCGGTTTTCTTTGAGGCCGTGGTATCACTCCGGTCGAGCCGACCCATTCGTGCCGAAGCATGGTCTCCCACACTTTTCACGGTTCTTAATCAAATCGAAAAATATTTTATGATCATTGAACATTAGCAAGTGAAAAGCATTATTTATATACCTACCTAATGACGATACCTACACAAACACAATAGTTTTGGAACACAAAGTCGTATAAGGATTCCCCAGGTAATTATTTTTGATAAGAAATTATTTCAGGTGATTTTTCATTCATAAAGATGATAAACGAAAATATATCAATGAATGATTTGCAAGTTAAAATTACACAATGATTTCTAATACGTTCCGTTTACACTCAGCAATACATTTTATCTAAAATATATATATTAAAATAAAGATAAACACGATTAATTCGAAGTTAATAGTAAATTCGTAAAAGTACATTGATAGCGACAAAATTTAGCGTCGTAGCCACGTAGTCAAACTTCGTAGCACAACCGCTACGAAGCGTAGCACAATGTTAATCAGTTACGTGTCTTTCATTATTTGCAAATCATGAATCGATAAGCTACGACTGCTTGCATAAATTATAACTTATTGATTACAGTGATCGCGCGTATATTTATCTGAAAGCGGATAAGTCAAGGGGTGATTAAATTATTCAAATATATTTCATCAAGCCGACTGTTGTTGCACAAAACCTCATAAGATGATCATTAGAAGACATTCGTATTTTAAGCAGCGATTCAAAACCGTCACTATGTTCTCTATGATGATTTCAATCACCAAACAGTACATTTGTGTTTTGGGTTCATAGGTGACCCGGGAGGGCACTGGAACTCCCTTGCGAAATCGTGTGAGTTGGACAGAGTGCCGATAACTCGGAATCGGCCCGGTGAGTGCACCGCTGTCTTCAACTTGTTGCGCATCGCTTCCGGACGCATTGCACCACACCATACCTATGTACGAAACACATAATTAAGAAATTGAAATATGGGCTATGTAACATAATGTGCTATACGTTTACCAGTTTGTTCACCGATTGAATAAAAAGAACTCTTCTCTTTATCATCATCAACAGCCTATAAATACCCACTGCTGAGAAAAGCCTTTTTTCACACGGAGTATGTTTGAGCATTATTCACCACGCTTGTTCAATGCAGGTTGGCGATTACAAACTTATAATTAGAAATTATAAGCCCAGGTTTCCGCACAATGTTTTCCTTCACCGTTTGTCAGTGGTGTCTAGATAATCGTAGAAAGTACATTTAACTCGGAAAAAGTCTTATTGATACTTGCCGTTGGTAGGTTTCGAACCCGAACCCTCATGCATAAGAAGCGGGCGTCTTAAACCTCCGGGCCACCACGACATACAAAATAACTCAAGATGAAATAATGAATGACTTAAGATTGTGGATATCAACATAATTATTATTTATCACATTGTACTTTCCATAAACCAATATTTACGATTCCACTATGACTAAAGTTACTGAACTTGTCTAAAGTTCCTGAACTGAACCCAACCACGGTGAAGCCAAAAGGACTAAGAGGGATTTTTTTTTAACGGGGCAACATCATCGAATGACTGCTCCCGCCTGGGTGAGGCGGGAGGGAGTGTCAAACTCTTACTGACTAAAAACCACCCCGTTCCTTCTCCTGCACGTCGAGCCGGAGCCCCGGTTACCCGTTAGGTTCTCCGCGACACTAAGGAGGGATATGATTTTGACCGGTATGTGTTTTCTTAGAGGATAGACGTGGCCGTATGCCACATTGCTCTACAGTACATAATAATGGCATACGACTACGGCTATCCTCTAAGAAACTGTTCTTGTTTGATACTTTTTAGAACGCGTTTTTTTGTATTCGGGTTTTAGTTTAATAACTCATTCATAATATGGGCATGTAACCTGAGCAAAGTTGAGGAAAAACAGCTGCGTGTGTGTGTGGTTGAGGCCGGGCAGGGTCTCGCCCTTGACTCCGTGTCGCTGCACCCAGTGCAAGTACGCTCGGAACGCTTGCTTCACGCCACCGTTGTCTGCTATGTTCTCACCCTGTAAAAATTTCAATATTCTCGATTAATGTATAGGAAAAACTGCGTTGTCAATTACGGCCTTACTTTGCTAATACATAGTAGGGTTTTGGTTTTCCTTAGTACACTTTACGTTTTTAGTAGCTCTAAAATATTCATAAAGGCAGCTAGCGTTCGTTTGTCATCTTACTTAAATTAGGTTGGATTTTTATTACGACGATGAACCTCATCGTTGCATTTTATTTCATCTTGAACATTCGAAAAGATCATCAGAATAAACATTTTAAAGAAAGAATTTTAAGAGAACCTGTGTATTAACACCATCTAGCTTCATATTGACTTCGGGCACCACGTATCGCCCGTACTGATCTATGAGGCACTGCGCACGCCGGTGAAAGGCCTCGATCGCAGTGTCTGACCACCAGCGGTGGAGGTTACCGTCACAGTCGAACAGACGACCCTTGTCGTCGAACCCGTGCGTTATCTCGTGACCTGCAGTATTCATAAATACACATTATTTTTATTGCTATTATAAATTGAATATGGAATAGTAGTGTATTGTGTATTTAATATCACACCATAATTAAAGCTCACCATGCATGACCAAGTAGTAACCAAGTCTACATTCACAAATATACCTACACAAAACCTGATGGCGTTCTCTCACTCGAATTTCCCGCAATTATTTAAAAATTTATTTATTTATTTACTAACCAATAACAACTCCAATTCCACCATAGTTCAGTGACCTCGGGAAATGTCGATGATAAAACGGTGGTTGCAGTATCCCCGCTGGGAACATAATTTGGTTCTTGTTTCGGCTATAATAGGCGTTGACTACAGCTGGGGCGGTGTTCCATAGCGTTTTGTTTACTGGTTGACCAATACTTGAAAATACACTTATAGATATTATATATTGTGAAATGGTATGCATCAAAAGTTAAATTTAAGCTGTAACTTTGACAAAATCCCCATAAAAACAATAAAGGAGAAATAAAAAAGCTGTAACAATTATAGAAATAACTCAGTTTGTAGACATACTCTAGCATTATTAATAAGTTATCTGATTATAGTGTACACTAGCACAAATTGCTTCACAGAACTAGTAATGAACATTGCACATGTAGGAAATTTGATATCGATTGCAACCTGTAGGGATTTAGTTCATAACCAGTCATTGACTGTATCATCGGTTCAGTAATCTCACGGCGTGTGCCTTGAATTGAATGATTTATTATTATCTGATATACCTGATTTGCAATAAGCATTGTTAGATATGGACGGATTGGTTGAAGACAGTGCTGTGTAAGTGTACGAAGGTCAAAGCTATTAAAAACGTCCTTATGTTGATTCCAATCTTAAGAATTGGAAACGATAATGGATTGTATGGTTGGTGCGGTGGCTGGGCAACCGTCTGTATTGCGTGATCCGCAAATTGTTGTTTCGGATCTAAGTGTCATGTGTGTGTCAAATTGTATATTTGTAAACGCACCCGAGACCTAGAACTCCTAGTGTAGGACAACGTGTTCAAAAAAATTAAAAAATCATAACCGACAAAAAATCCAGTCACCACAATTCACTCACCGAGCTTGTTCCATCTTTGTCAAATGCTGAAGAATATTTAAAATATTCTCAAAATATTTATCCGGGTGTATTTTGACCTCCTTGTATCTATCGTCTAATTCCTTCTTGTTCAGTATGAAGTCTGGGTACCCTATTCTAAGCATCATAGCGTCTACTTTATGTGCAGCTAGTTTCTTTGTCTTGTCATCAATCCAATCTGTCATATGGAGCAGTTCTCTGAAAGACTGCTGTATTTCTCTTGTCATGTACAAAGTATCGTTTTTGCTCATTTCGTCGAAGTATTTTCGTACAAACATAGAACCTAGTGCCATCCCCATATTGGAATTGACCTGAGATACGCAGTTCTTCCATCGTGGCGGAGCTTGTTCACGTCCGAAAAGAATGAAATAGAATCTGGAAAAATCAATTAATTATAAGCGGTTTACTTTTCGTGTGCCTCATATAAACCAAAGCAAATTGATATTGAGGTGACATAACACAAAATCGAAGAAGGAACAATAATGTACTAGGTACATGTAAATAATTCAATTAATGAACTCACTGTTGCTTGGCAGACTGAAATCTGTCGTCGAGGTTGTTGACCCTGTGTCTCACGAATCTCCAGAGCAGGTAATTTGCCAACGTGCTCGGTTCAGTCTCTTTTATCAATTTAACTAAATGCTGACAATGAAAACACGTTACAGTGGGTTAGGATTACACAAATATGTCGCTAAGCTGGCTTTAGTGCCAACAAATTGCTATGCAGTTTGGCAGATGATAATTTTGTTAAAAATTACTTGTGTAAAGTAGTTTAAATGTGACTTTGATTTGATTTGACATATTATATTGACTGCACGGTTTTATAAAACAAACAAAACATAAAATACGCACAGACAATTATTTTCGAAACACAGAAATTGATACTTCCAGCATAAGTTATGGTTTTTTTTTTAGAAGGCAGCGTCATCCAATTTCTTCTCCCACTCTCTGGATAAGGTTGGGGTAGAATCATTTTGGACTACAACTTACCCTGACATAACATAGAGCAAACAGAACAACAGTTTCATTGGGGTCCACGGTTCTGTTCATCACCACACACAAGTATCGTCTCCACCGTACTTGAGGAACCAGCTCTTCCAATTTCCGCAATGGCATTCTACGGTACAGCTCTGACACATTTCGTCTGTCTTCTGGTGCTGAAGTAATCTTTGCCAATCTGACAAAAGTATAAATATTTTGGTAATTAATAATGAAAACAATTGATACGATGAAAATTAACAAATAACTTTTGTAAACCAGACTTATAAGGAACACTATAAAATAATAATGGAATTTAAAAGGTGGTGTAAGGTGTACAAAACAGACTCTTACTTTATTTCGAATTCAATTAATTGATCTGCACTTATTTTAACATGATCTGGATCACCTCCAAGCAGTATTGCAATTTTAACCAGATAATTCTTGTAAGCATCCAAATATACTTGATTTGAATCTTGGAGAAAATAATCTCGTGTTGGTAATCCTGTAAGAAATTTCTAATAATAAGTTTTCTGATTAATTAATAACAATGTAAAATAAATCGTTAAATATTTTACCTAGACTTGTTTGATCAAACTGTATCACGAATTCATCGGAATTTTTGATATCGGGTCCAACCCATTCCGATATTAGAATATCATTATTATAAAGTCTAAGTTTTGCCATTAATTCTAGCCAATCAAAACGACTGGCATTCCATTCATGCTTTAGGATCGGCCATCCTCCAAGGAGGTCTAATAGGTCCAGTAGAGGTTGATGACCACGTTTTTGTAAGATTTCATAGTTCATGCAAGACTTGAAGAGGAATCTCGCTTTCATCGCAGCATCCCCATGCGCGGGATCATCATTTGGTCGTGCTTTTGTTGGAAGAAGAGTTTGCGCTTCAACTTTACCTTCTGTTTTAGTGGAATTAATGGTAACTGTCTCAATTTTTGGCTTTGATGGATCTGTGACTGATTCAACTTCAACTTCTATTTTTGACGTTTTTGTTGTGCTCCATTCTTTAACCACAGTGGTTTCTCTTTCTTTTCGGATTTTTAATTTACTTCTGTAAGACATTAACTTTCTACCATATCGTATTTCTTTGGATTTAATCATAAACTTCCTTCTAAACACTGTCGTTTTAGGATCATTCTCAGACTTGTTTGTTGCTCTTTTCACTCTTTCTCTTTTATGATTCTGAGACATGTATTTTCTAAATTTGGTTTTGAATTTGGAAATTGGTTTCATTACCTCTTTGGATTTTTTATCCAAATATCTTCGAATTCGGTTAACAATTTCTTCTTTTTCCTTATCGCTAGTATAGGAGGCCTGATGAGTGTTATTAAAGAAATCTTTGGAATGTGACTCCACTACATCTAAATCTTCGGTGTGGGAGTAAAAATGCAATTTAGATCTTTTATGTATAGGGTTCAAAGTTAGCAAAAAGTTATCATCTAGATCTAAATGAGATCCTGGATACTTGCACGGTATTTTGTCCTTCCTTTTGAATTCCAATAAATCTTTTAGAACAGTATCTAAATTTTCCCTGAGCATTTCAAAGGTATCGTACCTAAAATGTCAATGTTTAAAATAATATTTAATTTGCAGTTTTTATAAACAGTATGCTATCATGCAATAACGCACCCTGCTTTGTCGGCTGGTATGGGGTTGAGTGCAGCCCAGTTACCGCATGCGTACTGATAGAAGTCATGACACGGGTCTGCCTCCGCATCCATGTATTGTTTCATTATCTTGGCTTGTGTATTTCTGATTTGGTTTCTATCTCCTTGACCTTTCCAGAAAGCATGAATACCTGAATGAAAATAAATAGGTACTGTTGAACTTCTGGTGTGCATTTTTTATATTGAGATATCTCGTGTATAGTACACGAGACTGGCAAACTGTCGTACGACTAACCTTGGCTCATTTTTGACAAGAGTCAATTGAATAATTCGTACCACAATGTACACACTATTATCGAATTGATTTGGCGCTCTATTATACAATGGAATTGTGTGTGGACAGGAGAACAAATTGTTTAATGGGTCTCTAGAGCTACCTGTGAAGTGGAACTCGATTAAACTGGCTCATTTGAACGTAGGTAGGTAAGTAGATATCTTGAACTCGCAAAATTGACGTACTTTTATTAAATGTTTGCATTTACTACAAGATTGATAGTGTTCAGTGTTTTGAATAATATAGTCACCTGCATAAGACTGGGAAGGTTTGTAAATATGTGCTGAGGAGATCATCTCGCCTTCCTCCAGCTCTGGTTGGCCGCGGATTTGTTCCACCACGTCGTCCAATGGCCCTCGATCCACGTGCATCCCCGGTCGGACTATGCTGTTCAGTCCACTTAATGTATGTATATCAGCTAGTACTTAGGCATATTATACTTTAATACTTTAAAGGGCTTTTTGCTCGGCAGTTGCGCTTGCAACTACTCTACCAACGAGGTAGTCAATCATTAAGAACGTGTATCTATTTGATACGTATTGCATGACCAACCTATTGGCATTATATCAGGTCAGTGCTTCTCTTATGCAATATTAGTGGCTTATTTATAGAAATGTGCATTTCATAAGATTGTTCATAAGAAATAGGAGTTTCTAGATACTATTGATCAATTAGATTTTAAATAAAAGTATTTTTTTCATTGTAATCATAAGTAATGATTTATGACATCGATACAATATAAGGAACTAGACATTACAATATAAATATTGTATGAAATATTCGTAAACAGGGGGTTTCATTTCGTTCTCCTCGTACTTTCGCGGTCACTAGTGCGACTGCTAAACTACGATGACGAGAATTCTTAGTAATAGAACGACAAACTAATTTAAAAATAGATCGCTCCCTATTACGTATATGGATGGATTTATTATTATAACTAGTCAAAAGCTTCGGTTACATTTAAAACTGTCTCAGAAAAGGCGAGAGGTTAAGCTATATTATTGCGTTTAGAATAACTATGAAACATTTTGTTATATGATATTGTGTTCGCATACCTATCAATACCATCGTCCTCGTCATACTGGTCGCTGGAGTCGTACTCTTCATCAACTTCACTCTCACTCTCATTTCCTTCGTCATCGGCTTCCCCGACTTCTTCTTTATTTCTCAAATGTCTTTCTTGGCTAAAACAACATGCTATTGAACTATGCGGCAATACTGGCAATATACAGGTACTTAAATCCATTTTGCAATGAATATAAAAGTAACTAAAAGTAAATACGCTGAAAGTAGACTTCTGTCTAACTTTACGAGCAATATACAATTTATTATTGGAAACTTACTCATAATCTTGTGAAGTAAATGTGAAATGACTCATTCGCTTCACCCGGGTCGGCGTCCCATGCTGCTTGCCTGAAGAGCCCCATATCAAAATATCACTGGTCACATTACCCTCGTATACTTCTCGCTTCGATTTTGCATTAGAACGAGCAAGCACTAACTCTTCAGGCGGCAGGAACGACGTGCGGAACCCTTGAAACACGTCCCTTTCTTCGGGATCAACCCCTTCCAACTTCGTGTAGATTTTGGGAATATTCTTAACAGTATATTGATCTGAAGGATCGCCTAGAGAGTCAATAGGTCTTCTAATTAGAAAGTATGTCACAGCTAAAAGCGTAGCAAACGCTATAACAGACAGGAATCGACAAAAATTAGCACGTTTTGTTCGCGAATTGACTGTTACTGTTTGTGGTGGGAATCGCGTCTCCACGCGCGTCATGGCAGCTTCTGACTGACAGACTGACAGAGCAACGGCGGAGATTCGTAACTGGAACATCATACGTAGGTATATGAACTGCGTAGTGGTCGTTGTAATCTTGACCCTGTTGTTGCAGCCGGCAAGTAAATTGCTTGCAATCAGCAACACAGTTTATGCAGGCGAACTATATTTAGCTCACACTACTTAGATAAACTTTTTGAAAATGTTTCGTACTCTATATTTGTATCTAGATACTGGCATCTGCAGTCAGAGATGATGATAAGATAAATAAGAGGTTGTAAAACTTATACTGACAACTGACAAGTTAGACATCTGAAGTATTTATTTTTGTAAGACAAAGTTATTTTATTTGTTGTAAATAAATTTGAGTTGAAGAAAATGTTTGATCATAATAAAATACCAAAAGTGGCTTCCTTCGGAGAACTGACGAAACAAGTGCACTTAATTAATGACCTGATTTTAGCTGATATGACATGTGGTAGGTACCGAAACAATATGTGTGTGATTTAAAAAATATTTGCTTCCTATGTAATTTATAAAGTATCGCTATTTTAATTACTTTATTACTAGCTATTACTACTTACGAATATCCCTATTATACTTACCAACTTTACACTTCAGCGTACAATCATTATTACTAACTTATAAGGGTAATAATAAAACCCATTTTCTTCTTGCAGAGGACGTGGACAATTCAAAAGAAGCGGTGAGGTTCAGCAAGCATCTCCTAGCTACAAAGTATTGGTTCGCTCGCATTTCGTACTCCAATAAGAAGCGGTATCTCCTCGCCCTACTTCACGACATGCGCAGCGCGTGGGCACTGTCCCTGCTCCTCAAATCTATGTGGAACTGTCGGCCGAAGGATGCCGTGTTATCTACTAGCGAGTTAGTTTAAACTTGTGACACTAGACTATTTATTTATTCGAAGGATTGCCACATCACAAACATATAACATTTAAAATACACAAGGGTAACAAAATAAGGACAATAATGGCGTACATAGCATTGGACTATTATTCATATATAGCGTTCGAAAATCAGTTAATATCCTGTACATAGGCAACTAAAGTACGTTTTAATTGAGATGTGCTTTCTAGACATCACATTAGCACCTAAATTTGATGATGACGATGAGAAAACAGACCACTATTTTAGACAATCCTTTATTTTATTCGTCGATAAAATACTACGAGTTTAATCATATAAGAAGCAGATCAGTAACAAAGTGACAGATTTTCTTACTCCTAAATGTTTGTGCAGACGTAACGTGTATACCAGTTACGACCAAGTCCCGATGGACCACAACAGGACTGCCCTACCAGGGCCCACTCTGGCACAAGTAATGAAAAACGATCGTATTTGGTTCCTTTCACTTGATCCGGTTAGTAACTCATAAATACATTTACTTAGCCAGTTAGGCTGAAGATAAAATGAACGTACCAAACCCTCCTTAAGTTCCTACTCTCATTTCTAATCTCTGTTTGATGTTTTCTTCAGCCAAATCTTGTAGTAAGTGTCCAATCTGTTTTAGAATTTAAATTTTTATTATGAATTTTTTTATTTCTAGGAATCACAAGCCCTGGTCCTGTCAGAACTGATGACGGTGGCTGGTGGTCCAGCCATGTGGGAGGTGTTGAAACTAGCGCGCACCTTGTTCGAACGGAACAGGGAGCTCATGCTGAAGAACATCCAGGAGTGCATCGTGGTCAATGATCAAAATCAGGTAAAACGTAGACAGAGTAGGTATAAACATTATTTGTCACTCTTTCCGAGGGTACCGTAAAGTCTACTAAAGGTCATCGACACGGCTCCAATCCAGCCTTTTCATTTAAATATGAACTTGAAAACGTATGTCGTGTGACATATTTCATAACGTCAATATTATTATAGGCAGTAAACGTAAACAGTAGCTTGCGCGCTGACACGGCACGGTTATAGCCTTATTGTATATTAGTGACAGTTTAATTGTGTGATGACCTTATGGGAATACATATTTAACAGAGACTAAGCGGCAGTGTTCTTTGAATAACCTGATTTTTATAACCTTCGATCTCCTGCTCTTTTCTCTTTATAAACTGCCAACTTGCCTAATGGAGATTAGGGAAAAGCTTTATATTATATAAAATATTTCATATTTTGATAGAAATCAAAACATGACTCGACTCAAACCCACGATTCAGTTGAGTCTCCTGTGACAGCGCCGACTCCAGGAGAGGCAGATAAAGTGGTGAGAATAGATAAATATTTTATTGTAATATAAATTATAATGTCAAACCTCTACACTTCCAGTGTCTTAGTGACTCTCCTGCTCCTGCTCAATGCCAGGCCACGGTAACTTATTGCGTTTTTCCCCCGACCCTGGAACTAGCATGTGGACAAGTATGAATTAATACTAAACTGCAAATTGATCAATAATAAGTTGCAAGAACATAGGAAGGTATATTAATTAAGACGAATAAAAAAATGTCCACCTTACTCTGAGCTTGCACCTTATAAATGAGCAAATTGCTATAACAATTTTTTTGCTGACGTTCAAAAGTGCCTTCTTGGTCTAATGGAAATAAATGATTTTGACTTTAACTTTGATTTTTGAAAAAATTGTATTTCATTATTTGATTATTGCAGAGGAAGTTTCAGGTGAAAAAAAACTTAAAGAAAAATAAGCATGTATAGTATAACTACTCAGGTAGTATTAGGTATTATGTACTCAGTCCAAACACTTTCGTTTTTTAATATAAACTTTAAATTATTTTAGTTGAACGCTAACCTGGCTACTTGGAATGCGACTATCAAATCAATGCGTGATAGCTTGAAACTGGAAGAAATAGAAATGATTTTTAATGACGGCTCAAAGAGAAAGATCTGGAAGGTCAACCGAGTTAAACCTGAAGTTACTGAAACTGTAGACTTTGTAAGTTATTCATTTTTAATTTTCATACTCTGTCGTCAAAATTTATTTATTATATTTTGACGTATAATAAAACAATAGGTACTCAGATAAAACGAATCGAAGTTTAGGAGTGGGTGCTAAAACGTTATTTCTACGTATAAAATGTACATAGAAGTGACGTTGCGCGACGTTTCAAATCAATATATCGTCGAAAGTATTCGTTTCTGTAAGAAAATAAAAAATACGTGTCTAATGATTTCAAACAATCTACCAGACGGACATTAAAATAAAAATTAATATACCCTATTATGTTAGGTACTGTTCGAAGGCAGAGGTGAAACTATTTGAACTTGACTTGGAGTATCTATAAGCTAATCTATAACTTATGGCCATGGGCTTAAACGTATTTTGACCCTTAGCTTCATTGATCAGTAAGGCTGTCTAGACAGTACGTAGTCAAACCGTCTTCACATTTATTTTAGTAAGTAGGTACTTAATCTCTTATGTAGGTAGGCTATAGTGTCTGAAAAGTATTGCACCTACTTTTGTATCGTCACACTTTATAATTTTTATTCTATTTATTCAGATACAAATGCTACCTTCATCTATTGGTAAGAAGGTCCTGTCTTTTCTGCCTCGTGCGCAGCTGGGGGACTATGCCAAGGTTAACAAGTACTGGGCGTATCTAGTCGAGGAGTTGAAGGCGGAACTAGCTACTAGAGCCAAGATCAATACTGACTTCGATAAGTTCCATGTATGAACTTCTTTCTTATTTTTCAATAGATTTTCGACTTTAGTACGTAATTATTAGGTTGAATGTTTATTTAAAACAATGCTCAAAACGTCCGTGTAGTACTCCAAAACTCTATATCGATATCAATCGAAGGGCAGTCAAGGCCCTAACCATGTTATCATAATGACGGCGAACTGAGATGTCTGTCAGAAAAAATACATCGTTTCGATATGATGATATCGGAATCATTTACAACGGAATAATAACAAACAAGCCCTCGACAAACGAAAAAATAAACAACTTATCCCTAAATGCAAAATTTGTCATCTTTCAGGAGTTATTGCTGCGTCATGACACGAGTTTAGAGTTCTATGCTTCACATGATGACCAGGCTGCTCCACCCAGTTCCCAGGGGTGGAGTCTAGCCCCTTCCAAAGGACGTCAACCCTTACCTAGCATGAGAGCCAGTGAACGATCAGCTGGGGCATACTCTTTACGATATTTCTTGCCTAGCAAACTCGTCAGGCCGATAATAGTATGTTTCTTCTTTTTTTTAAATGTAGGATAAAAATATTAACGTAATTTTATATGAACTTGGTTAATATTGGACTCTGTGAAGAACAGATCCCAGTAAGGTGAACCCAAGAGACTTTTTGATTTGCAGTCATTTTTGCAACTCGACGAATGAAGCAAAACTCACATAATATTTATATTTTAATACATGTGCAGGTTCAAAAACCGATACGTAACATGGCAGACTTGTCGGAGCGGCTTGAGCGGCGAGGTGCTACAGATGAAAACATTTGGAAGTGGTGCAACTGTATTCTAGCACACGCCAAGAAAATTAAACAGATTAGAGAGGTGATGCGGGATTTTTACGAAACGTCTAGATTTGCCCAAAATTGATGATTTTTCTTACTAAATACCTAGTGTGACTCTTAATGACGTCATTATTTTTGCTTCCACTAGAATAAATCCATCTAATGTGTATTGAAATATAATAATAATTATTTTTAAGATTGTTTATAAATTTTCTAGAGAATGGAAGACGAAGATGGCGTATTGTGTTTAGGAAATAATGTACATTTCCCTTGTCCTCTAATGAAAGTCAGTATGGAAATTCCTTTAATTCCTCCTTTGTACCAGGATCCAATAATAAGGTGAGAAATTGCTCAATATTAATGTGTTGCTTGAAGCAATTGAAGAATGAAATTATTTATTAACAAAATGTTTTTGTTAATGGTTTAATTTATATCCATGTTTAAGTATTGTGTCTATAATTATTATTAATTCTACATAAAATGATTTGCGGTTTGTTTCCAGCACTTCAGCTAAGCCAAGAAGAAACCTGTCGGAATGTGCATTCGTTCATGTTCCAAAAGAAATTACGAAGCGATTTAGTCTCTGGACCCGAGATCTATCGACACTTTATCGTGTTTTCAAAATACCTTCTTACTTGAATCCTGAGTTACCTACTGTGACTCTTCCGCCAAAATTTCGTGATACATAATGTGCAGTAAATGGATAATATCTGTTATATCCCACAATTCAGATTTTCACCCCGCGTTTGCATCATTATAAAATGCCGCGAGTGGAAATAAAATATTTATGATAGGTAGGTAACTATTTTACTGAATAGTAAACCTCTATTATGTCTGTTACCTCTATAGGGGGAGGCTTTTGTCCAGCAGTGGACGTCTTTCGACTGTTCATGATGATCATGATGAAATCTCTATTTGCTATTTTGTTTTTTATTTTAGGTACTCTTAATAAACAAATTAATGAATATGGTCCTGAGTTTGATTATAATTTTGTACTATGTAGCTTTCATACGGTTTTACCAGCTCCTCGGCTTTTATTGATAGTAGTAGCGTGATATTTTCTATCCTTTTTCTTCTCCTTACCAAAAACCCAACTACCTACAACACAAAAAATATTCAATTGTAATCAGTTAGGAACCTAACCACATACTTTTTTTTATGGAGTAGGAGGCAAACGAGCAGATGAATCATCTGATGGTTCCCTTATATTTAATAAACTCTGCCTGATGGTATGCGATCAGCGCCACCCATGGATACCCGCAACACCAGAGGAGTCACAGGTGCGTTGCTGTCCTTAGGAATACGCTCTTTTCTTGATGGTTTTATTGTTACGAAATACCGCCGACGACAGATCATTCAGGACAGGTGGTCAGTTTGTCCGTCTGTCAACAAGCTGTGTTTCAAGAATCATACTTTATGCCTCGGTACTTCCATGTAGATTTGTAAATCTCGTGGCGTTTATATTTTGTCCAAACTTTATACTTGAGAACCTTAACCTTTGAACCATTACGAATAACGACTGTTCTGTTTTGTTTGATTATCGTTAGTTATTGCTAAAAAGTAAGAAAGTAATTTAATTAACATTTACGTCAATAAATACTACAGACTGTGGAAAATTGGTTTAACGATTACTTGGCAACTACCACTTCCACCACTCTAGCTAGACTGGCAACACTGAACTTGTCGTTGACTGTCAAAAACAAAAAATGCTAATGTCAAAAGCTGACAAACATATTTTTCTAGAAGAAAAATAATTTTATGATATTTTATTCAATTGTGTACGAAAATAATATTTCGTAAACTTTTACGAGTTTGCTTGAAGTGAATAATGATATATTTGACAAAATAGACATAAACGAAGTGTGAATATAGCTAGAAAAATGAGTAAACATACGTATACCACAGCGAACCTCACCGATAAAGAGCTGAAGGAACAGGGAAACAGATTGTTCAGCCTAAGGCGCTTTGAGGATGCTATGAACTGCTATACAAAGGCTATTGTGAGTACCAACCATTTATCTACCAAAATAGTAACAACACTAGCGATTTTTTTTAAGACAAAGCACGAGAAATCAACTGATTTTCTATTTAATTTTCATACAAAAAGGTCTGTCTGTACCTGTCTTTTGAACATAAACAATTTATTTTTTTATTATTAATATTCTAGTTCTAGTTTCATTCTCCATATCCTTTCCAGGAAATTGTAAGTTTTGTCATTAAAAAATTCAGAAAAATTTCAAAGCAGTGATTATTTCTTTGTTTTGGAATAGGTAGTTTCCATGAGTCATTAAAGTATCACATGTTTATTTCTTATTAGAAAGTACATAATTAAATATGATGTTTATTTGTACATCTTATAAGATAAGAACTGTTGGAATGAGGAAAGTGGGATTATTTTATCAGGCCATTTATTGTCATCTTTATACACTTTTGTTTTTTCCTTTTATATGTTTCGTATTTTTCGTTTTTGTAAAAAACATGTACAAACGACTAAAATCATAATTATTTATTCATTGAAATCTTTGTGTTTAATTAAAGCCCTAAATAAAACATTGGCAAAAATTTGGTTTTACACAACCTCAATTGATTAGTTTGCACTGTAATCCACACCATTTCAGGATTCTATTACTGTTGTATAAATCAACGAAAAATAACATTTTCAGATAAAAAACCCTTCAGTAGCAACATACTTCACAAACCGTGCACTATGCCACCTGAAGATGAAAAAATGGGAGGCAACATGCCAGGACTGCCGTAGAGCTCTGGACATAGACAATAATCAAGTCAAAGGCCATTTCTTTTTGGGACAAGCATTAGTTGAACTGGATTGTTACGATGAAGCTATTAAACATCTGCATAGAGGTAAAAATTTATCCATTCTACCTAATATTAAGGCGTGAAAGTTTGAATGGCAGGTTACTCAATCGTACCAATACTATGGTTGAATGGATTTGAATAAAATTTTGACACAGATTGATTATAATTTGTAATAGTACATAGGCTCTCAAATTTCTCTAATGTTGGCATAAATAGGAATAGTAATCTGTCATGCTAATTGATATTACATAAGTGTGCTATGTATTGTTCAATTAAGTCGTAATTTATTGATTTAGGATATATTTTGGGAATGGGTATTAGTTGTTTGCCATTATAGAGGTGTCTGTAGGTAAACTTTCCTTTATCCTACTTAATATTTTAATATGAAAGTTTCTATGTTTGCTTGTTACTGCTTCACGTCAGAATGGCTCAAGAGATCAAGATCAAATTGGGGACAGATGATCTAAAATAACACATTTAGCACTTTTATCCCATAGAATACAGGCCTACCTGCTGACAGAAGGTAGTCTGTCATAATTATTAACTTCCATCTTTATAGCATTGTTATAAAGTTGAAATTCCAGTAAAGAGAGCTAAGGCACTTCATTGTTCTGGTCTTGTTAAATTTTTAAATTTAATTTTGTCTTTAAGTAAAGTAGAAAACACTGCAGATAATCAGTGATTCAATACAATTGATTTACTATAAATTGAAGGTCTAATTTAAATACTATACTTTAGCCTTGACCTTAGAGTGTTTATAAATGTGCATATTATATACTTTTAGAACTAGTGGAATATAATTATGTTAATTAATTTTAAATTGTATGTAGCTCAATAATGGACTCTGCTCAAGAATATTTAAAGTTTGAAAAGGATTAATTACTTTAGAGAATGGTAGGCATTAATTTGTTGTTTTTTTAAAGGGGGCTACATTATATAATTACTAGATACATTTTCTCATGTGTTGAGGGTGCATTTCAATTAAAATATAGACTCGGAATGCCCAATGTGTGAATCTTCGATCCCTAGTTTAGCAGTCATGCTAGCAATCGCTCTAATAATGAGTCAGTCTAGAAACATCTTTGTCCTTATTCAATCAATGGAAATTGCTATCTCTGCCTTAAAGTATTGCACAATAAAAAAATAGAGTAAGTATAGTATTACCGGGAAATCCCAATATGTAGTTACTTATTTGAATGATTCCACATATTTTCTTTATTATCATTATGTCATCATAATGAATTAATCAAAGAATTTATCATTATACATACATATTACTGTCAACTAATTGTGTTTATCTCTATAAAAATTCTGCTTGTAATTCCACTGTAATAATTTAAGAATCCACTTTGATGAATATCAAAATTATGATCATACCTATCAATTTTATTCTAGAAATTTGCAGTCCAGTTTAGTGTTATATAAAAAAGCTTTAATTCATTCATGTATAGAGGTTCTATCCTTTATTTTATGTAGATATAGTAGACAAGTAGTAGCTTTGTCGTGAATTGTTTTATTTTAATACCTACACTTTAAAAGAGCCATTCTATTTTACCTTGTGTTGTCACTGTAACTGTCAAACACCAAGCGGTCACCGGTGACCGCAACCTATTGTTCTATAATTGTGTCTACAAAACCGGTACTCGACGAGTTAAAAATCATTAGCTATCACAAATGAACATATGATTTAAGTTAAATAATGTAAATGACATAAACCATTCCTTCACTATCAGCTGAATATAGGTAAATAGAATATAATGGGCTTGTAATTACAAAATCAATGTAAGTCTATTTATAGCACACAGTCAAAGGGATTCAGTTCAAATGTATATCCAATTATAGTAATTTTAATATGTACAAATTCAAGGTGACATATTTGTCACCGAAATACTATTATAATATTACTAGCTTTTACCTGCGGCTTCGCTCGCGTCACTAAAGGATAAAAGTAGCCTATGTGACATATATACACAGTGCCATCTGTACCAATGATTTCGTTTTTCCTCGAGGATATCAAATTTTTCCGGGATAAAAGTACCCTATTATTTAATCCAGACTTCTAACTTTAAGTCTGCAATTCAAAGCAATCGGTTCAATAGTTACGGCGTGAAAGCGGAACGAACAAACAAACTCACTTTCCGATTTATAATATTAGTAAGGATAGTTTCGTTCATATCTAAAGTAATTAGTTACATACCTACCTCTAGTAAAATGTATGAATCTTTTTAGTATGATTTATTAGGTAGTATTTATTTATGGAAGATAAAAGATGTACCTATACCATAATGCTATTAATTGCCTATACAAATGATATATTATTCGATAATTTAATAAACAATAAAAATATATTTTTATTTTTTACCTGATATAAAATGTACATAGCTATAGCTTATTAAATCAGTGCAGTCATGTCTTATTTGTTCTGTTTTCCGTATTTTTCAAAGAGAAGTTTATTGCATCAAACAATATTGTTTTTTTCTGGAACAATTTTGGCTAGCAGCCATCCTAAAACTATGATTCAAAAAGTGTGGTTTCGAAAATAAAGTAGATCTGAGTCGCGATCAATGAATACTAAGTGTGTGTTGTTCTATATTCGAAGTGAATGAATCATATTATAAAATATTGGCGGGAGATTGTTCTAGAACTATTTAAATTTTAGTCGCCTGTTTCCTTGTTTATTCTTTTCAGACTCGACTCTAGTATTTGTTGATGCACCAATTTTTTTTATTGGGTATTGCGTGTTCTCTTCAATGTGCCTAGGCAAGGGTTCATTTCGTCGCGGAGAACCTAACGGGTTACCGGGGCTCCGGCTCGACGTACAGGAGAAGGAACGGGGTGGTTTTTAGTCAGTAAGAGTCTGACACTCCTTGCCGCCTCACCCAGGCGGGAGCAGTCATTCGATGATTTTCCCCCCTTAAAAAAAGGGTTCCTTTCGAGCACTATGATTTAGGCGCAACTGTGAGTGAACACTACTCGTCTCTCGATTAATATTTTTTTAGAATATGGGTGTTTAAAGTTTTGGTACTCACGTAGCAAAGTACAAGCATAATGAGTTATTTACAACGTCACAATATCTTTAATGTGTCTTAATTATCTGTTCTAGCAAATGACTTGGCGCGTGAACAGAAGTTAAACTTCGGCGATGACATCGCCGCACAAATCCGTATTGCGAGGAAAAAGCGATGGAACGTACAAGAAGAGAAGAGAATAGCGCAGGAGATCGAACTGCAGTCTTATTTGAATAGGTAAACTAACATTTACATATATACCTACAAACCTTTTAATTCCTGAGGAGTTCAGATAGGTGTATATCATATACTTACAACATAACATCAACTTTTCGTCAGTTATGTAATGATTCAACTAAAAATTACTCAAATTCAATGTATTCCATCGATTTTCATATCAGTTTTAAAACCTATAACTAAAGTATCAAGGTTGGTTTTTCTTTATTTCGGTCTGCTGTCTGTCTGCACGATCATCATTCGTTTAATTAGTAAACGCTTTGTGTAGAATACGATTTCTTTACATTAGTAACTATTTTTGCTATCACAATTTAGTTTGATGAAAACAAAGAATGTTGTTTACAAAATTTTACAAGATACAAAGAGAGGTACATTGATTGTTCAACTCCATCTTGAAAACCATTGCAGGGAGGTACGATTCACCTATAATACATGGTATCGTACGAAGATGTATTCCCAACAGTAGGCTTGTAACAATATAGGTACTAACATAGTTTTAAGATTTTAAATGTTTTCTTACTAACCCCTATGGATGTTTCACTTGCCCGAAATAAACATTATTTTATTTTATTTATTTTATTGATAACTTTACTTTGTACTATAAAAGTATACATCAAAAATGTAATCAATGAATGTTACCATCGGTAGCTTTGATTGTCGTGCATCAGTGACTACGCTTTATTTATGTATGCTCGGGGACAGCTTTGCATTGAATTAATGATTCAGATACACTTCCATGCACATCACGGTCGACTGCTTGACTGACTGACGGTCGACTGCTTGACTGACTGACTGTCGATGGCCTAAGTCTGTTTACTTAGGGCCTTAGGACTCAAGGTGACATCAATATTGAGACAACGTTTTTTGATAAAAGGAGACGTTTCTTTCACGAAGAGAATGGAATATTAATATGTGTACATAATTTTATGGTATTCTAAATGTGAACGAATACAAAATGGCGCCTACTGTATTTTTGCTTACCAGATGGTGCTAGTGTAAATCTCTTCTTCTTCGTCCAATAGAAAATTAGCTAGTGCCTCGCCATTGGGCGTTCTATATTTGACAGCTGCTGTGATTGGACAATAACACCCCTTCCTACATTTGGCCCGAGTGAATAGGTTGCTTATGGGACGACGTGCTCCATCGTAGACTGCATCATAGCGGTCAACGTCGACCCATCATATATAAAAAAATAGTTACCCCCATTGCCGTATACAAAATCAATGAAAAGTCCGTTGTTTCTTTGTTCTTTCTTGTAGTTTATCTACATAATTATGTAAACAACTAAGGAATGTTATTTCGATTTCAGGTTAATAAATGAGGATATGCAGCGAAGAATAGAAGCATTAAAATTAGAAGCTAATAACAAGGACGATGTTAGTAGTAAGGCGTCGAAAATAGAGGATGAATGTGTAAGTTTTGTATTCAAATTACTTAGTCGATGTCAAAAAGCCGATTTACCTATGTTTCTGTTAGTTTTTGAGTTATAAGTAAACTTAGATGATTGTCATATAAGTTTATACATAACATAACATAACATCACGCCTTTTATCCCCGAAGTAGGCAGAGGTGCACACAGAAGTAACACCCACTTTTCACTATTTATGTTATGAGTCGCATGTAATAGGGGGTGAGCCTATTGCCATATACCGGGTACATTTCCAGACTCCGTGCTACGACTGAGATTTTTTTTAAAACCCAGTTATACTTTTACCCGGGAATCGAACCCGAGAAGCCTTGCCCAGTAGTCGCTCTTGCGACCACTCAGCGAACGAGGTAGCCAAGTTTATACACGTCTATTTAATTAGGTAAACCGGCGGGTAAATTCGTTTGAACCACTTTCATAAAATTACATTCTTAGGGAATAGAATGGAAGCGTTTTACCTACCAATAAAACGCATATTAATTTACTTACCTTATTCGAAGCTTATTTAATTGAGATAGGCCTTCTGCTTCCCTCCTTCCGCTTTTTCTATATGTCTATCTCTTTCTACTACGTCACTTCCACTTGGCAGTGGTGGGGAGTCTTGCTAAGCGAGACTCGCCATTTTTATTTCATTGAGTCTCATTACCAGGCAGAGCTTGACTATAAGCTTCGAATAAGGTAAGTAAATTAATATGCGTTTTATTGGTAGGTAAAACGCTTCCATTAATTTGACTTGACCGTTATTCGAAGCTTATTTAATTGAGACGTGTTTGTTATCGCCTGGTGGAAGTGACAGACGCCAATGTGAGGTAGTATGACTGCGTTGACCGCATTCGTACTACCTGGTATGATGTGGTAAAATCACAGAATAGAAAAACTAAGTATCTCAAGGTGAGTGAGAAACTGCAATTAATTATTTAATTTTACAACTAATTACTTACTACTCTATATAATTTTATACACATAGCAAAAACTGGTGATTTCATTTGCAATACTAACCAAGTACATCAATTTAAATATTGTACACTCTGTGCCTTTCATTTGCCTCTCATATTAGCCAACTCTATTAATGTTTCATGTGAGAAATAAAATTCAATGATAATATATTTCTGTTTTTATATTACTCATATACCTGTTTTATTAATTTTGCAACTATTTATTATTTAACTCGTTGTCATTATAGACACAATTAAAGAACAATAGGTTGTGGTCACCGGTGACCACTCGGTGTTTGACAGTTTAATGCTTGACTTATTAGTTATTTGTTTCAAAATTATGAACTTAGATTTATATTTTTTTTTATTTATATAGGACTGTGGAAATTGTAGAAGAGAGAGGTATTACCAATCACTGCTGCAGGTTCAATTCCTGGAAAGAAATAAAATTAAAATTTATTTACAAATAATTTTAGAATACTTTTATTTCTTTCCAGCTACATGATAATGCAATATCTAGTCTTCCGCCGGAGTTTGGTGAGCTAAAGAATTTGATGACTCTAAGTTTGGCGCACAATAAACTGACAGCACTCCCCAAAGAGTTTTATAAGTTAACTGAATTACGCTGGCTGAGTATATCCCACAATGAGATTTCGAAAATAGAAGCCGACTTTGGAGATTTTGTTATGCTGACCTTTTTGGTAAGAAACTCTTTGCTAAGTTTATCTTGTACAAGGACATTGAAAAAAAGGTGGATGTATAAACTTGGAACTTATTGAAACACCAAAATGTCAGTGGTATATTTATGAGTGCATGACGTGACGAGTCATATTGTCACGCGATAGATGTCCTTACTGTCAATGTATGTGTATTTTGTAAGTCTATAGTAGCCCACAGTCTTTGTTTCAACCTTTTTTTCAACTTCCGTGTTAAATAAATATAGCTTTCTTTGCAGAAAATGAGTACTGAAGAATGTAAAGGGCTTTTCAAGGTTGTTGTGTAATATTTACAATAATTAGAGTAATATTTGTTTCCAGGACTTATCGCACAATAAACTGACAATACTACCTCCAGGTATGGGCTATTTGGTGAGATTAGTAGAAATTAATCTGTCACACAATCAGCTAGAAGAGCTTCCTCCTGATATTGTTAACCTCAGAGGTATGTACCTATTTGATTATTATATTATTCTACATTGAAGTAATATAAGTGGTATAGATTTGTCAAACTTGTAATAGTACAGTAAATTACGATGTTTGTACCTACTGAGTTTCATAACACTATTATTGTATTATCATTGCAATTTTGACTCCTAATAACACAAAAGAAACATTGAATATGTTTACAGCTCCAATTGTCAAAAACAATTTCGTTATTCTATAAGCATTAAATCTCTTGTCCAATGCATAACTCTTACATTGGCAAGCAAATATCATTCTTATCTCAGTGCAAATAGAGAAACTTTTTGAAAAACTGATTATCATCACACATTATTATTATTAGTAGTAAAAATCTAAAAAGTTTCAATCCGATATGAACCTTTGGTTCTATGTGAATTAAAGTCATTTTAGAAAACACAACTTTGTAAAGAATTTTATCACTGTTACAGTTGTGTAATTAAGTTTGATTACCAACTTGCCGGTAGAGAGTACATCATTATAATGTGTTGTCTTAGTGCTACGTGACTAATTATTGTTTTGATTATATTGCATGACTGACTACTCGTTCGTGACGTGACTACTTATCTATCATGAAAGTTTTCGTTCCTAAGTTCGATTCTAGATGTTCAGTATGTGACTTGGTACTGCTTGTTCTAATATTATTGAGATCAATCACTTTGTATGCGAAAATAAAATGCATTACGGCTGTGACTAATGACGTCACCGCACAGCGCACGCTGGTTTTAAATAAGACTCCTGTTATGACTTGAAACTAGTAGAGTTTTTCACAAATGCATTTGTGAGTAAAGAAACGGAGCTACTATTTTTTTTTAATATCCTTATAATATTTATCTTTTTCATTTGTTGATAAATATTATTGCGATACAAGTATTTTATTAATTGGTAACGTATGTCGTATATAGGGCAATTTAGTTACTTTTAAAATGAGAACATTTTGTTGAAAAAGGAATATTTGTTAAGTTATAGTATTCGATAACATTTAAAAAAGGTAGTGGCTTCGTTTCTATACTCCCAAGGGTATAAGTAAAGACGTTGTTTTTAATTAGGTAGTTGAATCTTGTTTCAGATCTGAGAAAAATGAATATTAGCAACAACAATCTCAAGAAGTTACCACCACTAGGCGAACTGAGAAAAATGGAAGTACTGGATGCGAATCATAACGACATTGAAGAACTACCCGACTTTTACGGCTGTGCAGCCCTTAAAGAATTATATATGGCCAATAATTATATTAAGGTACTTTTTATTTATACTTTCAAGACAATGTGCAGATGGAGAATTTGAAAATGTAATAAAAAAGTACATTTTTACTCCTTTTGAGGACCTCATATTCAGGTACCATGACAGGACAGTGGAAGTAATAAAAACGGGGTGGTTTTTAGTCAGTAAGAGTCTTATACTCCCTCTCGCCACAAACAAGGCGGTAGTGACTTTGACTTTAATAAATAATCGTTTATTTGCATAATAATTATTCAGAAAGGTCAAGGAATGCACCTGACATTTTTTTCTTTGACGTTTCAAGAATATTAGTCCATTTATCTTATTTAAATTGATGCAGTCGTTCTGCAGTTTTGTGCAAATGTACATACATACATTGTTGTTTTGTTACAGGAGATAACAGAAGAGTTCTGTGATCAGATGCAGCATTTGAATGTGTTGAACATCAGGGACAACAAATTAGAAGTGTTGCCTGAGAACATCTCACTGCTGCAGAAACTGAAGAGGCTGGACCTTACTAACAATAATTTGAATAAGTTAGTATTTTAAATTGTAAGAGATGATTTTAAGACTTTATAAATATTTACCTAGGATATTAGGTTAGAGCTTATAAAATGGTTTGGTCTGACATCTACTATTACTGCTTTAGTGAGTATAATTGGTTTAAAACATTTACGAAGAAGGATATCAAATCTTCTAAGAGCCAGTTAGAGATTTTCGAAACTGCGGTAATGCTATGATTGAATCCACGGTGGCTGTTTTTACTCCTCTGCTAACGCCGTCGCCAGCCAAAAAGTTCAATTAACAAGTTAATTATAACTTAATTTAATTTAATTTCACATTAACGTTCCGGGACAGTTCACAGCTACACTATGCTACATTAGGGATCTACTCTACATCAGGTTTCACAGAGTTACTGTCCGGTCTATGTGAAATGTATTGATATATAATAATTTTTCAGGTTACCAAGGAACTTGGGGTTGTTATCTCAGTTGCAAAGCATCAACATGGAGGGCAACAAGTTGTCGTTTGTGAGGCAGGACGTGATCAGAGGAGGGACGGAGAGGATGATGAAGTATCTCAGAGACCGCATCACTGATGAAGTCGTCAGTGAGACTAGGCTCACTCCTGAGGAATGGCCTGATAAGTGAGTCTACGTCTTCGTTACATAGGACCGTTCTTCTGTTAACTCGCTAGCGCCAATAAGGCTTATGGTCAATGGTTTTGCACTAACTACTCATCTATTTGGACGACCAGGTCGAAATTAACGCCACCTGGGAACAATAAAACGGTAGCTACTCTATTGATATAGCAATAGGCTCTTACCTACCTAACACATCAAGTCAATATGAGAAATACGAGTACAGTATGAAAGTAACTATCTACGTTACCTAATTCTACCTACACTCAACACTTATAGCAAAGAAACGGAACCACTACCGTGTATATTTATTTCTTGATAAATATTTTCTGACTACTTCGTTGGCAGAGTGGTCGATTCCCGGGTCGGGTAAAATATTAATGAGTTTTTTCTAAAAAAATCTCAGTAGTAGCACGGAGTCTGGAATTGTACTCGGTGTATGGCAATAGGCTCACCTGCACTCATAACATAAATAGTGAGAAGTGGGTGTTACATTTGATTCTACAGTGGCATTAAGTGCCGTAATGTGCACCTCTGCCTACCTCTTCGGGGATAATAAGGCGTGATGTTATGTTATGTGATAAATATTTTCTAATATAAGTATTGTATTAATTGGTAACGTATGTCCTACAAAATGCAATTTAGTTACTTTTAAACTAAGAACATTTTGTTGTATGAGATTTTTTTAAAGTTATTTAAAATGACTCTGTTTTCTTTGTACCCAAATGTATATGGCTGTTAGTCACTTCATTTAAAACAAAATATATTTATTCAGTTGGCTGCTCCATTAACTCCATTTAAGATTAACCTCTGTGATTTGGGAGTGTTATTATTACAATGCTCCTATAGAATCAAAATGAATACACTTTTAAAGTCCTTGACTTTAATGAATGGACTGTAAAGGTCTAAATCCAACGTCCGATTGATACACTGTTCACAATGACTGATGAATAGGTAGAATTTCAATACTGTTTCAATAAACAGTCACATTAGTACTTTCAACCTTATCCTGTTACTAATAGAATTCAATTTTGTGTGTTACAAATTTTAACAAGTTTTAGGATAATTCGTTGTGTATTTTGGACTTTAATGTAGTATCTATTGGGTTTACTGTTGAGGTTTGTTTAACAAATCTTTTTTGTTTTAGATATACACTGAAGAAAAGTCAAGCTTTAATGGTGCCTGGTCGGGAACTGACGAACGTACCGGACCATGTGTTCAAAGCGGCGGCCGAGGCAGAAGTACATATTGTCGACTTCTCTAAAAACAAACTCACTGAAGTACCCCGTGGGTAAGTCATAAGTCATAACCATAATATGTAATCATAACTTAGTACAATAAGTAATAATAACATTAAGTAAGTAGTTACGTTTGTAGGACCTAATATATTTTCATAATAACATTTTGTTTACCCTGTGCGTTACGCAGATATAAAATATTTTTACATTGACACTGACTTTTTGCTGGCTATGACAATTATTAAACCATTTTTTTTATGGCATAAGCCGGTAAACGAGCAGACGGATCACCTGATGGTAAGCAATCGGCGTCGCCCATGGACACCTGGAATACCAGAGGCGTTACAAGTGCGTTACCGGCTTTTTGGGGATTAGGAGTTTGAGGATCGTTGGGATTCATGGATTGGGGAGATTGGAGAAAGGGAGGGTAATTGGGCCTCCGGTAACCTCACTTACACGACGAAACACAACGCAAGCGTTGCTTCACCTCGGTTTTCTGTGAGGCCGTGATATCTCCGGTCGAGCCGGCCCATTCGTGCCGAAGCATGGCTCTCCCACAGTTTAAATTATTTCACTGAGTACAATGTAATAGCCTCGTTATATTGTTTTTATCATCAGAAACGTGACGTGCCGGACTATTTGTGCGGCAAGATCAGTTTTGAGATACTGAACGAGCCGGTGATCACGCCCAGCGGTATTACTTATGAGAAGAAAGACATCGAGGAGCATTTGGAGGTAATATTTGCACTACATTCAATTGCCCAGTCACCAAGCAGTCACCAGTGACCGCTCTTCACCTAATTCTAATCTTCATTATAATCCTTATTTCCAATGTTTAGAGACTGACTACTTTTGTATGAACAAATTGTGGATTTTTCATAATCGGGGATTAAGTTGTGTACCAGTTATTTTTTTATTATTATTTTCGAGTTAATCCTTTCGATGGTTTGAAATACCCAACCAATTTTCTAATCTAGTTGGCTAAAGTAGAAGAATTTATATAGAAGTAAATATAGGAAATTCCTCAAGTTTTTGGCTATCGAGTTTTAGTCTATTTGATACTTACGAGGATGAGCTAATCCTCATAAGTTATGGGAAGTGTCAGTTAACATATCGTCCAAATTCCATGCTACAAGTAGGTAGTCTTTCCAATCTATAACGCGAACTTTTAAACAAGTTATTTCTAAAAACCATTATCTTCCACAGCGCGTCGGTCACTTCGATCCGGTGACTCGTGTGAAGTTGACAGCGGATCAGTTAATTCCTAACTTCACGATGAAGGAGGTTGTGGACGCGTTCTTGCAGGAGAACGAGTGGGCGCTCGACTACTGAGTACTGAGTATTGAGTGCTGAGCATTGAGCTCATCTCTTATGTACTCGTGTCGTTGTCTAGGTAGATATGTCTGTATGTGTGTTGTTATGTCCATGTGTTGCAGTAATATGCCGGCTAATGTAATGACGTTTGGATAAAAGACAGGAACCCTGTTTGGGCTCTTTGCAATTTGCATGTAAACCAATTTTTACAATTTGCGTAACTAGTAGACATGCATTGTTTCCATTTTTTCTGGTAGATGCTGACTGAACTCATTTTACTTAAAAACCTAAATATTACATGTTACAATGATAGTTGTTACGTCAGTCAGTCAGTGAGTACAAATTGCATTAGTTGGGGTATTACTGCTTACAAATGCGTCCGGCTCGATTCACGGGCTCGTTTCATGTTAGTCCGTCTAGTTTCGAACTAGACCAGAGTCCTAAACCATAAACTTTTGGCTCAGCTCGTCCGAGAATACGGTGTTAAATTACATTTATTATATGAAGGTTCAAAGTCAACATAGGTCCTTGGGATAGTTCGTAGTGGCGAATTGGACTGTATGCCTTTGGTAATGAAATTGTTTCTTGATTGACCGATGATCCGTGATGACTTTCAGCCTGAATTACACGATGCAAAATGAAAACTTTATGTAAAAATGTAATTGCAAGCAATAGACACACCTATGAATAAATATAGTGCATTAGAAAGTTAAGCTCTGTATGATTGGATTAATAATAATAATATAATGTATGGAGGATAGCCGATTTATTGTGGCCAAAGTTGGCTTGTTTAGCCTTAAATATACTGTACTTGGTCACTAAATACTACGACAGTACAAGTTCTCCTTTAGAACTTGCCTAATGATAAACAGACGAACATACATAGTCCAAAATCGCTAGAAGAAATATAATAATTTCACATGAATATAAGAAAATGAGCTTGCTAACAACACTATTCATAGATTTTCTACTGTAATCCTTAGGAATAAAGTTTAGTTTTCCTTGTCTATGTATTAATTTAGTATCTTAGAGTGGCTTGTTGTAGACTTTTAGCTCAATTTCCCATGTTACTCCAAACTTCTTCAATATTTATTATTACGTAATTGAAAGGTAATCTTGCAACAGATTTGTAGGTGGTTTTTCAAAAGAAAATAACGTCATTTTCTTAACTTTAACCCGTCGTGTGTCTAAACGTGGATCCACGCGAGACACAATGTATTTTCTATTGTGTCTCATATCGCCGCATTCAATTGGTTAAGTAACCAATTCTGCCTATTGAAATTCGAATGCGAGATGGTAATGACTTGTTAAATAAACGTTAACCGTGCGTACGGCGCGTCGCGTTCCGCGTGCGCCTCTCAAAGAGCCATCAGACCACCACGGATGGGGCCCAACAGGGCCGATGCCGATTCGGAGTCGCGGAGAACCTAACGGGTTACCGGGGCACCGGCTCGACGTGCAGGAGAAGGAACAGGGTGGTTTTTAGTCAGTAAGAGTCTGACACTCCCTCCCGCCTCACCCAGGCGGGAGCAGTCAGAGGTCATAGACGTTAAAGTTTTTTGAAGAAACACCTTTGTTGTTGTCTGGTTTTGCCTCAAGTAGTATTTATTCGCTCACAAATACAAAGCATTATGCACAAAATCTACTAAAACTATCTTGCCTTCTATAGAATAATTCTACTTATACTTACTATGGTAACATCGTTTACATACTCCAAAAATTAAGATAGAACGAAATATCTGCTGAATCTGTTTAAAAATATAATCAGCCAATGGTAAAAACGAACAAAGTCACAAAGTATGTAAAAGGTACGTTTAAATTATGTTTAGTCTAATCCTCGTGAATCCTACGTAGAGTATTCAATTTAACTAATCAGGGGGCTTACTCTTGATTCCAATTCCGATCGATCGACATTGGTATTGTGAACTTTCGTACTCTTGTATTTCAACACTAGCGTCCATTACATGCTTATTGCGTGGATGAAGTAAATTAATGATTACTACTAATTAATGAACTAAATAGTTTTGAGTTTGGCTTTAAATTCCGTACTTTGAATGCTATTTTACAGCTACGATAAGGGTTGTATACTGTTGACATTGAATAATTATCTGATTGAAATTGCATTGACATTGAGTTTGGTTTCAAGATTAAGTACCCTGTTCTGTCCGATACAATTAGACTGTTTTTAATTGGCTGATGATATTACTAAACAGCCACTAAATGCTTGTTCTCATCATCATCATCATCATCATCATCATCATCGACCAAAAAAGTACACTGCTGGACGAAGGCTTCCCCTTGTCCTCCACGTTGAACAACAACTCGTCACTTGCATCCATAGGTTTCGGATGCACATACTACGTGACATCAGCCTACAAAATTTTGCGTGACGTGTTTAATACTGAGATATGGTCCCCGACTTGTAACTTCGTAGAGAGACATAAAGTGGCTCTGCGCGGGATGGAGAAAGCTGTTCTCGGGGTATCTTTGTGTGACAAATTCCGAAATTATTGTTATCTAAAACATTTTCCGCACGCTCAAGCATTTCGTCGTGTTTACAAGCGTTTGGAAGTTAAAGATATGAATTTGTTCTTGAATTCCCATGGGAAATAATTTTTTTTGTGATACACTTTTGGTAGCAGGTATTTCATCATTATTTCTGTTAAATTCATAAGAAATGTAACGACGAAATTATATATTATATATTGTACATTTTATAAATTAATTGCAAGTTTATAACTAATTATTTTCCAATTGTTTCCATAAAATGTTTTATGGCATTTCTTAACATCTATATAAGTTAATAATTTATGTAGTTCGTTATTTGTTATTTATGTACTGTTATGAGTACCATAAATAGATTTTTGCCTTATTATTTATTTAAGTATCAATTAATATTGATAACAAACGCATGCAGTATAATGGTGTTATGTGAATATTTTCAAATAATTCGTGTTATTTCGTAGTCTTTTCAATTGATTTTATTAGAGATCTCAGCTATAAGATATGTGTGCTATAGGACCTGCTTATTCAAATATTCAATTTATATTTACTATGAAAATGTTAAACAATGGAAAGTTAGTTTGTCTTAATTTCTTCTTTAAAATAAAGTATTAAGTGAATTCGTTTTTATAATAATTATCGTGAGACATGCTGAATTAACTATAAAAGACGAGTTACTAACGTGAATATACTTATTGAAAATACTACTCTACTAGGCTGCGCGACACCGCCTCGACCGCGCACGCTGCTTATGGGGAAGAGCCCCTCTGTGACTCGAAAGTAGTAGAGCTTTTTTCAGTATATTTACGTGAGTAACTCGTTGTTTTTAGTGAATTCGTTTTAATAACAATACTTTTTTTTTCAATATGAAACTGGAACTTAGACACGGAAAATCCAGCATTATGAGTTAAATGGCACTTAAGCGACAGTCGATCGGGAGTATAGAAAAGTCAATGTACGAGATTGACATTACCTTTGACATAATTTGTCGAATGCCAGTGTTGAAGGGGCTGATGGCAGCAATAAGCGTAAGGTCGTGATTGTCCAATCTCAGTAGCTGCCAAAAAATGAATGTCCAATGACTGCACATTACAAAATACTTAAAATGACCTCCCGCTATGCTACATTGGTGATTCTGTCGATAAACTCAGTCACGGTAATCCTCATCTCTTATTGATTTTTCTATTAAATCGATTAGAATGTTGTCTTTGTCATTTGGCTCATACCACAGACCATCGAGCTCACTATATCTACCTAACATGTTTGTTGATTAATTAATGTTATTATTGTTTTTAAATGTGATAAAATGTACCTAGTAAGTAGTTATGGATAATGCGATTGTATTGTATCGATTAGTGAGTATTTTATCGATTCGCTGCTTTCACTAAATTTTACAAATCATGCATACTCTAGTAGTATTGTCTTAGTACATCATAAGCGTGCAAGGTTTGCTAAAATTATATAAGTATTTAATTTAAGTTTTAATTTTAATATATGGCTGTCGAAATTGACTAATTATATAATATATAACGATATATCATTGCATGTAGATTTGGTACTTACAAAAATGTTTTAAGTTATTTTGATTATATACCAATAAATGATTGATTACGGGAATTTTGCAAATAAAATTGACACAGCATTATTATAGTCATAAAGTATATAATTTTTGTTTGGTAAGTAATGATAGGATATTATTTACGCATGCCAACATTTGCGTATAATCTGTGGTAATGTTGAAACGAATGTAGCGCCATCTGGCTTGTTGTTAAAAGATTGGTCCACACTAAATGACATTTAAAATGGCAGACATAATTCTTAATTTAAAACTATTTATCCTCAAGTCAATCTGAGCTTGATGTGATGGATTGTTAAAAGAACTCAAAAATACTTAGTCGCAGAGTGATTTAGTATGGGCCAATCTTTATTGGTGTTTGTTGTAAGTGTGAGATTATGGTACATTGGATCGCTAGACGAACAGATTCACTTGTATGTCGTAACCAGACACTTGTAATAAGTTACGTTTAAGTAAATGTTATTTTGTACCCGTGACTTTCATTTTTCAGTCCTTGTCCCATAAAATATAATTTATTATACACTTTTTTCATAAATTTTGTTTTCAAAGGTGTTTTTTAATGTACATAAAATGGAAAACAATTTCAAAAAAGTCATTTAAATATCTCAGAATTGAAATAAATGCGTTATGTATTCTCTTTTTTACATTGAGAAGAGAAGAGATGAGTCTTCATGTGTATGGTATGGTAATGGTGTATATTACTAAAAAAGACACATATTTTTATTTTATTTTCTGAAACTATTTTAAAAGTACAAGTATTCAATAAAAACTCAGTACTCAATAAATCAAAACCCTTATGTCTTAGTGACTTCATTGCAAAAATAATAAGCAATATTACCCAAACCAAATAATAATTCGCAAGGGTTGCACCGTCACGAGTTGGGGAGGCATTAAGCAGTACAGTGGCAACCTGTTACCGTGTTCAATTGTTTATTAAAGACCACTTCGCTTACCTGTTGCTTCTCTAATGCACGGCGATACCGCACGAAGTGTTTACATCGCAGTTTTTGTTCCCCACGATCACTGAAAAGCCTTTGAAGATGCGGAAATGTACTCGTTTTGTAGTAAAGCATGCGATATTTTTGTCATAAAAGGGTGTTCATTAGAGGTTTCGTGTTATGTCTGATTGGTTCATGTGATTACTTGTTTGCTCGTTAGATTCTTGCAGTGATATGTTTAAATAAGTTTTCTGTAAGCGGAAAATTTCACCATACTACCCATAATAGTTCAGTCATTTGGTAGTTATTTAGTAGTAAATTGGAAACAAAATATTATCAAAAAACTGTTTTGGATTGCCATTTTTCCAAGATGGCGGCAAGAGCGGCGCACCTACGAGGGTCCAAAATGGAACTCCTAAAGATCACATCAAAATCTACAAATTGCCAATTTTCAAAACTCCCGGAAAACATTCCAGGTAACCCCCATATTTCCGCCATAATGATCGAACTATAAAGTGAAAGTGATACTTGCATTCAGGATTTCATAATATGAATTGTATGAAGTGCATTTCTATCTATTCTTTCGAGGATTAAAAGGCGTGACGATACGATATGTAATAGGCATACATATGTAGTTTCAGAAATTAGTCCGCAAAGATTAAATTTTTAACGTCTAAAAAACCAGAGATATTATAGATCTAGTGGTACTTAAATTCTTTATATAAAAAGTATAAGGACATGTTAGGTCCGTATAAACAGAGTCGCCATTCCGTATAACCGTCTAAATAGATACGTATATTATAAAAGAGGGGTGAATAGATAGGTGTTAGAACACATTTGTTTTTATTCAGCTCTCGAATCCTGTTCACCCCGTTTTACCTGCCCCGTCCCACGAAGCCATATTACTTACCTCGTTAGCTACCTTATTATCTTCACGGTGCATCGGTCATCGGTAACGAACCCTGACATAATGACATTAGCCTAACGAGTTCCAGGTCTTATGCAAGTAACTTCACCACTTTAAATTGATGAGGTTTGTGTAGAATAGCC